ACTAAAATGCAGTCACTAAATTAGAAATGTTGTGAATGTGGCGTATACTTTGAATGCACACGTTTAAATCAGAGAAGGCAGAGTGCTCGCGATGCAAAGAACTTGCACAAGCTGGTACAAGCGAACACTCAGGGCTATCACAGAATCCATTCGTAATGCTATCACCGAATCCAAATAGCTACGAACGTAGCGTATACTTTGAATACACATGTTCGTAACAATTCCGTTTTGGTGGTCGCATTTTCGTTGATTTCACGAAAAATCAGACTACGATGGATTCTGTGATAGCCTCCACTATTAATGCATATTTTAGTTGCGTTCGCTTTATAAGTGTTATCACCGCCAGTTGAAGCGCCAGCACCCTATTAATCTCTCAAAACACAAGAATGTACTTTAAATTTACTTTTTAACCGACTTCCAAAAAAGGAGGAGGTTATCAGTTCGTCCGATTTTTTTTGAAGTGAAACTTCTTTAGCGGCGGTTGGTTGGGTGGGAGTAAATTGGCAAATTCAGCGGAAATTGCACACGGATATGGTGTACCGGAAATGATGCAATGGAAATGCAACGGAAATGGAGCAACGGAAATGGTTGGGGCTGAAACAAGTGCTTCTTGTGTGTATGCAACGGAAATGGTGCAACGGAAATGGTTGGCGCTGAAACAAGTACTTCTTGTGTGTATGCATATGGTATGAATTTAACAAAAACTTGCTAATAAAAGGTTAGAGGACAACACTCAGAAATAACAATACAAGAATGAAAGTAAAGGTGAGTACGTACATAGATAAAGAAAATTTCTTTTTGGTTGTTTTGTGTTTCCGACAGGGTAGGAGTATGATGTATTGTGGAACGATTTTCCGTCATCCCTTGTCAAATTTGGTTTGGAGACAAACCGGTTTCGGCGTTGTGCCATCTTCAGTGTCATTTTTCGTTCTGAATAGTTCGTGTTTCCTTCCGCTTTTTATGTATTCGTGTTACTATCTGTTTTAACTGTCATTAGGTCATGCATACCCATGATGCAATAATACTCAGTAGAATGAGAAGAAAAACGGGAAGAAATGAATACCCATATGGGGAAAAAATATAAAATTTCACATTTTCTCCAAAAGTAAAAGTAAAAATAAAAACAAAAACAAAAACAAAGATGTGTAAAGATAAAGGTAAAAACGAAGACCAAGGTAAATTTAAACACTTTACTAATATACATATGTATATAAGGGCAAAGGTGAAGGGGAATATGTTGATGAAGAAAATGATAAACATAAAAGTAAAAACAAAGATGAGGATGAGAATACCGATTAAAGTTAAGATGAAATTAGGGGAAGAAAGATTAAAATAAAGGCAATTAAAGAGGAAAGGATATAGAGAGAGACACAGACTCAATCTGGGAACTATTTTGGGATTTTAGAGATTTTCGAGATTCTCGAGACTTATCGATTAAATAATCGATATTTTTATCGGTTTTGTTATCGATATTTATCGATTTTGTTATCGATATTTATCTGTTTTGTTATCGATATTTACCGATTTTGTTATCGATATTTATCGATTTAGTTATCGATTTTGTTATCGTAATTTATCGACTTTGTTAGCGATATTTATCGATTTTGTTATCGATATTTATCGGTTTTGTTATCGATATTTATCGATTTTGGTATCGATATAAATCGATTTTGTTATCGATATTTATCGATTTTGTTATCGATATTTTTATTGATTTTCCAATCGATTTAGCTACCAATGGTATCGATGTTGCTATTGAAATTTTTATCGAATTTGTCATCGATTTTGTTATCGATATTTTGATGGACGTTATATCGATAGAGTCTGAAGATATAAATGAAGATAATGGAAGATAATGTTATTCTGACATGAATGTTATTAAAACGAACAGTGGTAGAGGTAGGGATCTACATTGATAGAAAAAAAGCAAAAAAATATAACCTTAAGCAAAAGCAGATGTGTGTATGTATAGAAAGATAAGTAACGTAAGTTTCACTTCTGTGGCCCAGGCGCACTTACTTTTTTGTTTTTATGTATGTTACCGCATAACTTTGGACCACGTCAACCGATTTCGATAATCCTTCTTGCATCGGAAAGATAGTGTCTCAGAGGGAGACCCAAACTAATCTGGTTTATATCCGATCATTGGATCATGAAATATATATATATTAAAGAACTGCGAAATTCAACATTTTCTGTAAAAATGTCTTTCAAAAATTTCATGCATTGCTATATCATGTCAACAGAAACAAGGTGTTGGGCCATGCCATTCCATCTCAAACATTCTGTTTTAGCATGTCCTTGCTACTTAGCCAAGCTGTTGTTCGCTGTTGTGCTTCTGTAGAATATTTTTAATACTGTTTGATGAAAATATATACAGGTTTTTAATTAGACAATTCTTTAATGCATTTTACCATAATAGGTGCTTAAAAAATTTACAAAATCTCTTCCCGTTTATAAAATGTAATTAATTATGCTGACGTATGTCGCATGTGACACATGTGTTGCTTGTGTTGACATGCATAGATTTGATGCATGATTTGATTTCAATTATTCGACAGTGTCTTCATATGTTATTGTGAAACATGTATGAGCGACATAATATGAACTGGCACTTGCATGATGACACATGTCGCTATGTTTTATAGTTCAACATTTGCAGGCCCTTAATATAATAAAATATATATATATTTTATATGAGAATTGAAGTCGGTTTTGTTTTTTGCTTAAAAATGACTTGTTATTATGTCTTTTTAATTGGGAAATGTAAAGTGATTTTTAATTATTTTTTATGCATAATTGGTTCATATAATTTTGTTTTCAT